AATGACCAGAGTGATTTCAAAAGAATAGAAAAAAGCACTTTCAAAAATAAGTCAATTGAAATTAACTCAGATGATTTTAACAGGTGAAAGTAGAATTCTAGTGAAGTAGAAAATAAACCTAGAAATATTTATTAAACATATTCTAGAGAGTCAAAGAGAATGGAAAATATAAAAAGTGAGGAGAAAAGAACATAGAATGAGACAGTATAAAATACATCCAATCGGAACTTTAAAAGGATTAAAATAGAGAAAGTGAAAGATAAGAAATAAATAGCTTAGATATTTCAAGAATTAATAACTACAATAACCATCAGATTTGTGAAATACAACAAATCATGCACATAACCAAAAAGAAACCCACATTTAAATACATCATGACACAGAAAGAGAAGCCCCTAAGCATAGCAAAAAGGAAAAAAAAAGTAGAAAAGTATGACAATTAGACTTAAACTTGCCTTCTTCACAGCAAATGTGGAAACCAAAGGCACTAGGATAGTATTTTCAAAGGACTGAGAGGAAAGAATGGTCAAGTTAGGATAGTAAACTTGTTATGGTTTCTTTTAATAATACAGTGAAAATAAACAGTCTTCAGAAACCTCCATCTTTCCATACTCAAGCCAAAGTGAGATAATGTATCACCAAAAACCTTTCCATTTAATCCGTATTTTAGGAAGGTGAAAAATCATAATTGATATCAGAAAATAAGATCCAATATTCATAAAGGAAAAAGAAACAAAGGCAATAGTAAACACAAGGTAAATCTAAATACTGTATAAAACTAACATTCAATTTGTAGGAGTCAAAAAAACAAAAGAGACACAACTAAAACACTTACTGTAATTAACAGTAATTAATAGTAATTGATGGGGTGATGGGATGAAAGTGTTCTAAGTGCTAGATCACCAAGGTAAATGAAAAGCCCGATTAACTTTTAGCTTTGTTAAGTTCACATGTTACAAGTTCTAGAAAGTTAGTAAAATAGAAATAAAGAGGATAACTTCCAACTAGCAGAGAAAAAAGGTTAAATAAAAAAAAATTCAAAAACATTAATTCAACACATGGTTATTAAAGAGACAAAAAGACAAAGTAGTGACACAAATAGGGAATCTAATTAACATGATAGAAAAAAATCTATACATATCAATTATCAAAAAATGTAAATGGTATACATAAAATGTAATGGTATACATTAAAAGTAAATACACAAAAAGCTCAAAAAATTTTGCAAGAAAAAATTAGTGAGCAATAAGATCTCATCATGAAGATACAATTGAATAAAGTGGTATTGATAAGCATATGCAAAAATTATTTTGAACTAAAGGAAAATAAAAAACTACATATAAAAATTAAAAGGAAATTATAGCTTAGAATAATTATATAAAACATTTGATCTGAACTTCCTCCTTAAGAATCTAACAAAAACAAAAAAGACCAATTCAGGATAAAGCAAATAGAAAATGAAAATAATAAAGTTAAAAGCTGAAATCAATTCATAGTTTGAATAATCCTTATCTGAAATGCTTGTGACCAAACACCAGACAGATTTTGAATATATTGAATTTTGGAATATTTGCATATACATAATTAGACATTTTGAGGAGGAGATCCAAGCCTAAACATGAAAATCATTTATGTTTCACAATCTTACCAGTATATGCACTCTCTGAAGGCAACTTTATACAATAATTTTAATAATTTTGTACATGAAACAAAGCTTCAGAGTGTGGGTAGGATTTTCCTCTTATGGTATCATATTAATGCTCAAAAATATTTGGATTTTAAATCATTTTTGATGTTGAATTTTTGATTAGGGTTGCTCAATCTAATAAAAAATTAACAATAGAAAATATCAATAAGACATAATCTAGATTTTTGGAAAAAAACCCATTAAAACAGACAAACCTTTAGCTAGACTTGTAAGGAAAAAAAAAAAAAGAAAAGACACAAATTACCAAAATCAGGGGATAAATTAGAGGACACTACTGAAGATCTTGGGATAATAAGAAAATACTATGAACAATTTTATGCCAATAATTTAAATGACTTGGATGAAGTGGCAAATTGCTTGAAAGACATAAATTTCCAAAACAGACTTAAGAAGTAGAGACAATGACAGGTCATACTAGAAGTAATGAATTTGATTTCACAATTTAAAACTTTCTCACATAGAAAACTTCAGGCCAAGATGTCTTTACTGGTAATATCAACAAAACACTCCGGGAAGGAATAACACCAATCCCTGAAAATCTCTTTTAGGGTTGCCGGAGTACAGCCTACTGTATTCTAGTTCTTCTCATAAAGCTGGTATTTTCCTGACACCAAAACCAAATAGAGTTCGAAAGAAAACAACACAGCAATATCTCTCACACAACAAAAAAGAATTCCATAAAGTATTCTCAAACAGAATCCAGGAGTATATTTGTTTTTTAAACATAAAATACATCATGACCAAATAGTTGTCCTGGAAATATATGGTTGATTTAAAATGAAAATCGAAGTTATTCCCCATGTTCATAAAATAAAGGATAAAACCCTTGTTTTATAGGTGCATAAAAGAATTTGCCAATATTCAACACCCAGGCCTGATAATATCTCTCATTAGACTAGTGATAAGAAAAATAACAGTTAAGAAAACAACTTGAATGAAAACTATACAAAGTACTTGGATACTTTTCTGCAAAGTTTTGCAAATGGACAATGTTTAATGGCACCAGTGCATCATTAGGGAAATACAAATCAAAACTACAATGAAATACCACTTCACACCAACTAGGATAGATATAAAAATAACAACAACATTTACAAAAACAAGTGTTGGTAAGAATGTAGAGACTTGGGACCTTTACACACTGCCAGTAGGAATGTAATATCATGCAGCCACTAAAGAAAAATGTGATAGTTCTGTAAAAATTTACTAATAGAATTAACGTATGATCCCGCAATTCCACTTCAGAGATACAGTACTCAAAATAACAGAAAGCAGGAACTCAAAGAGATATTTGTACACTCGAGTACATTGAAGCATTATCCATGACAGTCTAAATGTGGAAGCAATCCAAGCATCTATCAGCAGATGGCTGGATAAACACAATGTGGCATATGCGTGCAGTAGAATATTATTCAGCCTTAACAAGGAAGGAAAGTCTGAAGGACATTATGCTAAGGGGAAATGAGCCAGTCACTAAAGGACAAATATGTGATTCCACTTATATGAGTACCTAGAGTAGTCAAATTCATAGAGACAGTAGAATGCTAGTTCCTAAGGTGTGGGGATTTAACATTTAATGAGGATAGAGTTTTAGCTTTGCAAGATGAAAAGAGTTCTTAAAATTAGTGGTGACACTCTCAAAGCAATGTGAATTTACTTAGTGCCACTGAACCATACAATTAAAACTTAGTAGCCAAATGTGGTGGTGTATTCTTTTAATCCCAGCACTCTGAAAAGCTGAGGCAAGAGGATCAAAGTGTGAGCACAGCTTAGGCAATTAAGCAAGACCTTTTCTTTAAAAAAAAAAACTGGGAATGTAGCTAAGTGTGAAGGCCCTAGGTTCAATCCCCAGTATTGGGGGGAAAAACTTATGTATGTTTTATCACAATAAAAAAGAATAAAAATGAATAGAAAGAACCTTCTATATAGATGGGACTTTTCTGTATATTTTTAAAAGCCTTTCAGCTAACAAGGGATAAGACAGGGTATTGTTTCTCTTTAATTCTAACATTCTGCTGGAAGTCTTAATCAGTGCAATAGAAAAAAAGATGTCATTAGATAGGAAAACATAAGTAAAATTTTATTCATATATAATATTATTATGTATAAGGAAAATCGAAAGGCTTTACAAAAAACACTGCCATATTTACTAAATGCTTTCCACAAAGTTACAGGATTCAAGATTCCTATACCAAAGTCAAATATATATATA